TCGATGGTTTTACTTTTCTAGTGCATTACAACCTCACAGAGCAAAAAAGCATGGGAATAATTTACCTTTAAATTTTTCAATCAGCTCGGCGAGACCCCATTCCGTTAATTTGTTACGAACAAATTCATCCATGACCAGCAACTGCAAGGTAATTTTTTAGACAGTTACAACAACCCTGCCCCACCCCCCGCCTTTTTTACTTTAAGACATGTTCTAAAATTGAAACAGTATATGGCTTAACTTTATTTTATTGAGTTAAAGATGTTTTTATCTTGGATACACTGACAGATCTTTTGGCTGGTATCTTTGAAGCAACTGCTGAGAGCAGTCAATTAAAAAAAAAAAACAACTCCCTTCCACTCCTCTCTAAGCCACTCCCCCAAAATATTATAGCTCCACTCCTTTTTATCTAATTTCCTTTTTTTCCCTCCAAACCATACCAAGAAGAACAAAGACAACCTGCTGTGAAAGTTAACATTTACTTTTTCACCTTTAAAACATGATTAATGTGTTACATTCTGTTTGAAGTTAACAGTTTGTGTTCATGCTATATTCTAGGAAGTTTTCTGTTATGGAATAAAAAAAAATAAGGCCAGCGTTTGTTAAATGATCTAATTTATTTCTTATTAGTAGTTTTGTTTGTTTGTATTTATTCAGATTTATAACATTTCTTTAATATTCTTTTTTGTATCGAAAAATCCATCCACATCCACCAAACACCTGTGCAAACCATAATCTACCATAACATAAATAAACAGCAAAAACTGATTTCTGGATCCTGTGTTTAAATGTGAACACCACATAGGATGTTCAGTGAGCCAACGCCACCAATGCAAAAGCTTTTTCACCCTAATAAATGGATTATCCTGATAAACATTTTAATTTCCGCTAACAGGAAAAGTAAACAACACGTCAAAATGAACAAAGTATCATAATCAGTGGAAATATAATGGATTGATTTTAAGTGTACTTACATTTTGTCCTCTTCTACTGAAACCAATGACTACTAGCTGAGTCGCTTGTCTGTTCTCCTTCTTTTATATTTACAGTCAATCCCACCATCTCTCTCCATCTCTGCCACACATACAGTCGAGCAAGCATAATTCTAGAAGAATGCTGTGTTTCAAAGTCCTCAGCCTTGATTCTAATGTGCGTTCACTTAGCAACATATACACCTGGGAACATGCACACCTAGCAGTGTTTAAAAGGCAATGGTGGAATAAGTATTGAGATCCTTTACTTACGTATAAGCATCAATACCACAATGTACAAAATACTCTAACTAATCTAACTGCATTCAAAATCCCACTTAGACAAAATTATGAAAGACATATCTGGAAAATGTACATAACGTATCAAAATGGAATAAGAAGTAAAATATTCCTCTCTGAAATATGATGGAGTTGAAGTATAAAGTAACATAAAGATGAAATAGTAACCTCAATCTCTCCTATGTGTTTGGTAAAGGCACAAGTCAACCATCTACATTTACATTCACAGCTGACATTCTTGTTCACTTTTTACATTGGCCGAATCTCAAACACTGTCCTTGTCACTGCCTTTTTGGTGGACTTATCGGGAAGCTTTAGTTTCATTTGCGTGTTGAAATTGTTCCTATCGTGTGTTCACATTATTTATAATTACACATATATCTACAGCAGATTACTCACTATTGTACACACCCAAAACAAAGTCATGCGCACTCTGCATGACTTTGCAAATAATTTAGACTGAAGAGGAACTAACTTTAAGGCATACTAGGTCAGCCACAGTAATAAAATCGGAATTGATATGAGCAGTTATAAACCTCAGGACTGAAAAGCAGTATTAAAGAAAAACAAATCCTAATGATTCCTGTACATATTTATGATCTTTACTTTATTTATTATATAATTTATTTTATATTTTATTATCTTAAAACTTATTCTGATGTTTTTATTTAACTGTCTGGCTCATCTAATGAATCTGTCAGCTTTGTGGATTCTGAAGCAGATGAGAACTTTATCGACCGGGAATTTGCTCTCCAGGCAGGCATTCAGATTACTGCACTCGGCTCCCCCTGACTGCTAATGCTCTTGATGGAAGGCTTTTGGCTCAAGTAACCCACCAAACTGCTCCTCTGCTTCTGTATCTTTCTGGAAACCACTGGGAATTCGTCCTGGTCCTCGAATCTTCCCGTCCTCTCAAAAACCTGACCTATAAACAAGGTCATATCCATTATACTCTCATTCTCAGATGCATCACTAAAGGTTTAAATGTGAAAATGCTACATATTGCATCAAAAATCATACATATATCTTCAATCTTATCAAATCTCAAATCTTCAGTTTCAGT